TTGAAACATATCTCAGTGCTGAGGGACCAAATGGGATGTTTTACTGCATCAAATAAGGTCCAATAATGTCCTCATGCACTAAATGGCTGTAAAATATCCTAGGAGGGTAAGGCAGGCTTTACAGGCTCCTCAATACCTCCCAAAGGGCAACTGCTTCACCGGGTAAAGTCTCCCAACCAAAACCAGGCTGGGTCGTGGTCTTTCGGAAAAGAGGCTGGTAGAAACTCCTATGCAGAGAAATACCAGAAATGAGCAAGAAAACCGCAAACCCTCAACAGTTAAGAGGCACCTGGGCATTTAGCCTGTGTGAATGTGATGTAAGAGTGGCCTTCAGGGGTGAGCCCAGGTGTCACATTCAGGAGAGCACTCCCTGAGTCCAGCCCATGCCTCCCAATGCCTTCCCTGTGCTTCCCACGGAGCCAGGAAGAGTCCAGATCGCCACTGCACTCTTCCCTACCTCTAATCCCCGGTGCCACAGTGCTCCTTGCTAACCCTTACACCCTCCCCCACTCCCCTTCTCCTCCTCCTCCCCCCCCTGCAGCGTTCCAACAACAAAGGGAAGGTTCTGGAGCTGGGCAGCCAGTGCTCGGCCTTTTATGTCGGAGCAGAGGATGCTCCAGGAGATAATGCTGTTTCCCAAGCAGGCAGAGCCACGGGGCTCCCATGACCGGGGTGAGGAGAGGGCTGAACACATTAACCATACATACAGCAGGAACTGTTGAGCAGGCCTCTTGGAGGCAGACACGCTGACCAGAGGTCACCGGGGAGGCTCTGGCCGTTAGCTTTAATTGCGGGAGCTGCCTTTCACGCGCATAGGATCTCACCCTGTGATTTATCACTTCCCCGGGTGTGTTAAGTGTTCTACCGCACTTCACCAGCTCTGCATCTCGGAGGGAAGTCCGAGCAAATTGAAGATGACATTGGACTTTTATGTCTTCCTGATCCAAGAGAGGCCAGAGCCTCAGAGAAATGTCATGACTCCTCTTTCCTCTTTCTCCACTGGCGGAAACCACAGCTGGACCTTGATGGTGTGAACCATTTACTAATAAAATAAGCTTTCTAAGCTTTACG